GAGGAGGAGGAGAAGAAGAAGAAGAAGAAGAAGAAGAAGAAGAAGAAGAAGAAGAAGAAGAAGAAGAAGAAGAAGAAGAAGAAGAAGAAGAGAGAACAGCTGACCTCTTGGCTTAAGCTTTTAAAAAACTGCTTCAAGCATTTTTATCCCTGGAAAGAAGAAGATAGATCATTAAACAATAACAAGGAAAAAAAACCTGGTCCCTTACAGCAGCGTTTCTTAATCTTAGCAACTTTAAGACACGTGGACTTTAATTGAAGCCCACATATCTTAAGATGGTTAAGATTGAGAATTGCTAAGATTGATGTAAAAGCATCTCCACAGGAGTTGTAGTCACAAGGAATACATTTTAGGGGCATCCCAAGACAGAGGACTCTCTGTCTAAGCAGAGAGACGGAGCTAATCGTTCTCATGCAGGCTCAGTTCTGGATAAACCTTGTCGGTTGCTCATCTTCGTAGCATGTAGCTCCCATGTGTGCCTCAATGGGTAAGAGAATGGGTTGAGTGCCTTCTTGGAGCAATGGGCTGCTACATACATTGATGCAGTCGGACAGGGGTGGAAACCACTTTGGAGAAGTGGGGTTGAGCATACATTGAGGTTTATCCAGTTCACCGCATGGCTTGGTTCGGTATCCAAAAGGACTATTAATGATAGGCAGGCCCTGAGAACCTGGATGGGAGACCAACAGGCATTCCCAGGGTGGTTAGATGGGAAATTGGAAAACACTGTGGAAGCAGGCAGTGGGAAGCCACTTGTGAATTGGGGCCAACAAAAACTGTGGAGAAGTGTCAAAATATCAGCAGGAGCTTGGAAAGAGACTTTTATCTTAATTTAGAGGAGTTGATCATTATAGCGGTATCAATCATGGAATCTTGACACTTAAATATTGAGGCGTTATTATTACAGTTGGGAAGAGCTGGCTCTTCACCCAGGTCTCTGCAAGGGGGAGTGGGATCCCTCGTTTCATTGCTCTTGCCAACTTTTATCTTTATCTTTAGTCTTTTATTGGTTTTATTGTAATTTCTTTTGATGCAAGCCACCCAGGGTTGTGGAGAGTTGGGCAGCAGACAAGTTTAACAAATGATCACTATTAGTGATTTACATATATTGTTGTAATATAGTTCCTTGTGTAGGTGTGTGTCCCCCATGGCCTAGTTCATACTAGGGCATGCAGAGCCATGCTGAACCACACAGGAGAAAACAAACTCCTAAAACGCCATAACATCCTGATAGTGCATAACATAACATTCTGAGATGTTAGAGATGTTAGAGAGCCGAGGTGACGCAGTGGTTNTATATATATATATATATATATATATATATATATGTGTGTGTGTGTGTGTGTGTGTGTGTGTGTGTGTATGTTCCAGCAGAACTCCGGAACACCTCGAGCAATTTCAATTTTTTTAACTTTTGTAATATGTGGTTTTTTCATGTTGTACGCCGCCCTGCATCCTTGGGAGAAGGGCGGCATATAAATCCAATAAACCAAACCAAACCAACCAACCAATCAAACATCTGGGACACAGATGATTTACTCCCTGGAAACAAATATTGTGGGGCATAAGGCATCCCTAAAACCCCTCAGGCTGTGTGTTCTGTTAAGATACAGCCTGTTGTGCCTTAAGACGGCTTCTATTGTACTGCCGTGAAATGGCTTCTACTGTGCAGCTCAGTGGAGTTGCCATGGTAATGGCTTCACAGTACTCCACAAGGGGGCTCCCTGTGGTAAGGGGGAAAAGCCAACAATAGCAATTACGTTTGGTCTGGACATTTTCCCCCCCTATAGATAAATACCTGGTCGACGCCGTGTTATCGGCTAGTATAAAATAACAGGCAGTTTGCAAAGGCCCTTGAACAGGTTGTAGAAATCTGCGTCTCTTGGTGCAGAATTTGGATTATTTCGTCGGCAGATGGAGACAGGTTGTTTTAGGCCCCAAATCAGGATTTCCTCTTTTTCTACTCAACCCTTTGACGAATTCCGGAAACCTCTAAAGGAGGGACAGTCAACCTTTAGCAGCTTGAAGATTTGTGGACTTCAACTCCCACAGCTGGCTGGAGAATTCTGGGAGTTGGAGTCCAGAAGTCTTCCAAAGTTGCAGAAGTTGGACACCCTGCCTTCAAGCTTGCATCCTGCCCTTTCTGTGTTGGTTGACCTGAGAAAGGTGCCATTTGCAACACCCAAAATGGGGACCTGAGAGTCTATGAAACTCCTGCGTTCACAAGAGCGGATGGACGTTGCTAAGTTAACTGTAGCACAGATCCCAACTCCTATCCTTCCAGAAGTCCTCCGCCGCCGAGACCGAAGGGGCGTAGTCTTTGCAATCCAGGGTGGCGTAGGGAAAGTACTCGGGGGCTCGGAATGTCTCCAAGTGCTGGGAACCACACGGGGTGCAGTAGCATGTCGGTAGGCCGGCGGTGTGTGGGACGTGGTTGTGTGACTGGCAGGTGCGTTCCTCCGAGGATGGATACATGCAACTCCTGCCATCCAGAGCCGGGCAGCTGTACCCAAGCGGGGCGAAAGGAAGCATCTGGGATGGGGAATAGCTGCAATCGAAGGAGCTGGAAGGATCCGGAGCCTCCGGGGATCCAGAACCCTAAAAGAAGATAAAACAAAGATGAAACATCCAGACTCCGGGTGTGCAAATTTTACTCTGAGCTAGCGGATAACCCGGCATTCATCCTAATCCTGCATTAGATAGGAAAAGCCCTGATTTCGGTGACAATTAAAATAGTTACAAATGTTTTTCCCTGTGTCCCCAAAAGCCAAACATTCGTCCTCAAAAATAATCAAAGCCTTGTTGAAAATGTCCGGACCAAACGTAATTTCTAATTTCACCCCTCATGGAGTGCTGTGAAGCCATTACCATGGCAACTCCAGTGCGCTGTACAGTAGAAGCCATTTTACGGCAGTACAGTAGAAGCCATTTTAAGGCACAACAGGCTGTATCTTAACAGAATGCGCATCCCGAGTGGTGTTAGAGGTGTCTTACCCTTTCATAGTATTTGTTTCCAGAGAGTAAGCCATCTGTGTACCAAGTTTGGTTGAAATTGCTCAAGGGTTTACACACACGTGCACAAACACATTTTTATACATATAGATTCACAGGATGATCGAGGGATGTTTGCTGGGAAGTAAGCTGGGTGCAATAGGGCTTATTCTCCAGTGAGAGTGTACCAAGTAGTGCCAATCAATTATATAGCAGGGGTGCCCAACCTTGGCAACTTATGGATTTCAACTCCTAGAATTCCCAAGCCCGCATGGGTCGCTGGGGAATTCTGGGAGTTGGAGTCCACTGGTCTTTGAGTTGCCAAAGTTGGGCACCCTTAGCAAGAAGTATAATTGGAGTCCCAAGATTGTACATTGTCCTCAGGTTTGCAAAGAAGAACAGGACAGGTTTGCAAAAATAAAACAGAGAAACCCTTAAAAGGGTGAATTTGCCTCTCTATTGGCCAGGGAATTGCCTGCTGATTCTCTCAACTGCATCAATTCTCCCCCGCTGTTTTATACTGTTGGAAGAAACGTCCTTCTGGGTTCAGCTCCAAATGGGGGAAAAAGAGCCTGGAAACACGGAGGCTGCTTGGAAAGAGGGTTTAATGGTGGACAGGGTCCCATGGCTGGAGCTCCTGAACAGAAAAGGGGGCTCACATGCTTCCATGCTTGTTGGGTGAAGAAGAAAAGAGGCAGAGATGCTGAAAGCCCCTGGTCTTATGTCCTCTCTGGCCTTTGATCTTGATCTTGCATTCTGATTGGTTGTCAGGGTCCCAGAGACAACTCTCTAGGCTGTGCCTTTGAGTCCAAGTTTGGTTGAGCCTCGCTTCTTCCCAGGTGCCCTGTGGTGAGATGGGTCAAGGGCTCATACTATCAGGCCTTAACCCCATCACCCTGGAGCTGAAGTGGGGAGGTCTTTGTTAAGTAGAATAGGCTGGCCCAGGCCTTTTAATGGTTCATTGACAAAGGTGAGGGCTATTGTTGTAATATAGTTCCTTGTGTAGGTGTGTGTCCCCCATGGCCTAGTTCAACCAAACTTGGTACACAGATGGCTTACTCTCTGGA